CTCAGATGCATGGTATAGGTGTTCCCAGTACTGTGTACTGCTCATGCTCAGATGCATGGTATAGGTGTTCCCAGTACTGTGTACTGCTCATGCTCAGATGCATGGTATAGGTGTTCCCAGTACTGTGTACTGCTCATGCTCAGATGCATGGTATAGGTGTTCCCAGTACTGTGTACTGCTCATGCTCAGATGCATGGTATAGGTGTTCCCAGTACTGTGTACTGCTCATGCTCAGATGCATGGTATAGGTGTTCCCAGTACTGTGTACTGCTCATGCTCAGATGCATGGTATAGGTGTTCCCAGTACTGTGTACTGCTCATGCTCAGATGCATGGTATAGGTGTTCCCAGTACTGTGTACTGCTCATGCTCAGATGCATGGTATAGGTGTTCCCAGTACTGTGTACTGCTCATGCTCAGATGCATGGTATAGGTGTTCCCAGTACTGTGTACTGCTCATGCTCAGATGCATGGTATAGGTGTTCCCAGTACTGTATACTGCTCATGCTCAGATGCATGGTATAGGTGTTCCCAGTACTGTATACTGCTCATGCTCAGATGCATGGTATAGGTGTTCCCAGTACTGTGTACTGCTCATGCTCAGATGCATGGTATAGGTGTTCCCAGTACTGTATACTGCACATGCTTAGATGACCTGAATAAAGGAATGGAGCAACCTTTAATCAGGATTGGTAGGACTAGGTGTGGTTATATTGATGATGATCCATCCAATATTGTATCAACTTCAAGATCATCAATAGTTATATATTAGGATTGTTCCCAGTAAAATTGTATTGAGTAGATGAAAAATTAATATTGCTGTCGTTAACTAGAACTTTATAATACTTTATACATTGTTGGTTCTGTTGATTAGAATGAACTAAAAATTACAAAAGAATATACACTATATACCCATGACATTATAATGAAAGACAGAGAGAGAGAATACAAGATAGAATTAATCATTTCACAATACATTATACTAAAGTATGTCCATTCTATACTACTGGAGACAGGGACGATTGATGTCTTTGTGTTGGTTTCAAGGTTTTGGTTTTGGTGGCATTGGAGGAGGAATATCCAGACCACCTAACCTATCCATGATCAGCTCTTGAGTAGTGAACTTCCTCTGGAGGAGAAGGGGAGAGGGAGGGAGGGAGAGAGATAAAGGGTGTGTCACTCCATACAGTATAATGTGCATGGCTTATATTTCCATTGACTGCTGCATGGACTACTCTTTCCTCAGTGGGTGGTTTATTCTTTGGTGTTCTCTTACCAGCTGCTATTGATAGATCAGCATACAATACTTTATGAGGAGCAGCTGGAGGAGGAATGGGAGGAGGAACAGACTAGGAGGAGAGAGAGAGGATGTATAAGATACCATTACATGTACATGTACATTATCATTACTTTGTTGTTAACTGATGCATATACCACTGGTTGTTCTTGTGTTGGTACTGCCTGTGGTCTCTTCCCTTTAGCAGCAATAGCCAGATCAGCATACACTGGCTTATGAGCTGATTCATCAACTAACACCTATTGAATATAACAACATGAACCTTAATTACTAATGTACATACCTTATGTACTAATATACCTTATACTAATGTACATACCTATACTAATGCATTTACATGTACTTGTGGTATGTGTGTATTAGTTACTATAAGGTGGTACATCAGATTACATAAGGATAAGTTCACCTTATTACAAAGCTTAAAGGATGTACTCAATTCACCCATTACCCCCTCTTCCCTTCCTTTATATGATACAATACATTATGTACATGTAGTTCATTAAACCCAATACATTATGTACATGTAGTTCATTGAACCCAATACATTATGTACATGTAGTTCATTGAACCCAATACATTATGTACATGTAGTTCATTAAACCCAATACATTATGTACATGTAGTTCATTAAACCCAATACATTATGTACGTGTAGTTCATTAAACCCAATACATTATGTACATGTAGTTCATTAAACCCAATACATTATGTCAAGAGTGGATTATGTACATGTATCCATACCTGGTTGTTGGTGTTTTTATTAATGGTTGAATATAGTCCAGTAGCACCAGTAGACAGACCCTGTTGACCCTTATTCTATTAATGATACATTATATGATCCATTAAACAATCCTCAATAATCACTGACCTCTCCCTCTCTCTTCAATACAGAGTATTCCTGTACTCCCTCAGGATTATAGGCAGGAGGGACAGGAGGAGGAGTATCATTGTCTTGATTGAGTGCTGAATAAAGTGGACCAGCTCCTTGTTGTTGTTGTTGTTTATTCTTCTTCTATTATACATTATTCATATAAAGCATGTACTTAAGCACATTGCCTATCATGTCCTCTTGTCTATCATGTGCTAGTTCATTGTATCTTACAGTCAAACATATGATTACCCTGTGTAGGCTGTTGTCAGCTTATTGTGTGTTACATGTATACTCATATGGTTCATGTCATGACAGGTAGAGGAAGGTTAATGTTATTCTTGCTAATGTACACTAAATGATGACTGGATATACGTATTTGTAATAATAATTATAACAAATGCTGTTCCAATAGCTTCTAATATAATAGGAACAATACTTGATTCACTAGCGGTCACATACACTGAGCTGCTATTTAACATGTACTTGAAAATTTGTGTGTAGCGTTTGTACACCACAGCCATTTTTTTGTTTATAAACTTTCAATGTACTAGCTCTTCCGTAAACTGCGCCAGTATCCCTTTAATCAAGCAAATACAGTATATATATACATAAATAGAGAGTAATCTATACATCAGTACTGTATAGCGGGAAATTTTGGAGGGAATTAAATTTGGTTAATTTGGCATTTTGATAGCCATTCGCCAAAATAAAATCAACCATTTTGAGCCATTATACGCATGCTCAATGGCACGTGGCCACTAATTCACCAAAATAAAATCTGCTAATCACCAAAATTTAGCAATTTGCCAAATTTTAGTCCTTCCAAAATTTCCCGCTATACGGTACAAACAATTAAACATTTTACTCATTCTAAACAAGCAAGGATATACATGTAGTAGTAACAGTTAATTAATTGAAGTTAACTTCACATGTTGCAATTGTTCTAGTGACTTAGAGAGGCCCCCATGATGTTCCATTGAGTATTATGCTCGTGAATATCACTTGCATCTCATTACATTTGTCAATAATCATGTTTACACAAATT